AACAAGTATGAAAAAAAAGAAAGCAAGGGTCTTTGTTATCTACCTATTTTGTGGTTCTTATCCTTGGAAGTAACTACTGTCACCTCAGATTTTTACTAGTCCAAAAACTAATAATTGACATTAAAAATTAAGTTCTATTATCAGAATTTGAAACCATACTTAATTTAACTCTTCTAGATCCATAAGTGGCTTAAATTGTTTATAATACAGTCTGTCTTGAGGAAATGAGGCATCCATTTATTATTTTGGGTGCCTGCTATATGCTAGTGTGAAAAATGACAGGAATGAGGCCACTTTAAAATGGAGCCAAAGCAGCCATTCAAAAGGAACTGTCTTGCTCCTTGTGTTTCTTGAAATTTTGGACTGACTGGGCCAAACCACTGTTTTACAAACAGTCGTAAAGTCAGCAGGACAGTCTGATCATAAGGAGTAATGACTGTGGACTTTCTATCTGAAGATAGAATCAGCAAGCCATTGTGTGTAGCCAATAGTAACTCAGCTTATCAGTATTAATATGAATTTTTTTTTCTTTTCATATAATTATTCCTTTCCTTTTTCTCATAAAACCCTCTTGCTTTCACCCTGTAATCAGGGCACTATTTGAGTTTCTGCCTAAAACTGCTCCTCAAATTACAATTCTTTGACCCCAAATAAATGCTTGTCTCATTTCGGCTTTTAAAATTTAGGTTAACACTAGGCCTTGTGCTTCATATACAGTGCAGTTACATTACTATGGGTGTTCTTTCTCAAAGCACTATTTCTATGACATCAAACTAATTATCAGCTGAAAATACACACTCAAATGTATGATAACATAAAATTTATTCATGTCCCACCATGAAGGTTCAGGAAGCATTATCTCTTCTTTTTCATATTGTACTTCTCTTTTAAGAAGGTAGATATGGTTAAATCTCTCACAAACCCTTTTATTGCAAGGGGTGAATCTTGAGACCCTTGAAATCTTTGGAAAGTCTTGATAAATCTTGTTTTTAAAATGTGGACAGAATATAATTCTCTGGATGAACCCGATAAGTGATGTTACAGCAGAGTGTCTCAGCTTCAGCAATGTTGACATTTAATACTGATTCTCCCGTTTCTGCTAACCCTGTTCTAATAGTGGCCTGTCAGTGAGCTAAAACACGGAGGATAGATCTATGTTGAACTCTTAAAAAAAAATGGTAACCCATCTTTTTGTGTAAGGCCCTAGAACCTTATGTCAACGAATTAAAGATTTGTTGTTGTTACTCTTTCCAATAGTTCTGACAGGTTTATAGGATCATTCATCACTTAAGTGATCCTTTGCTTAGATACTGTTAAAATATTAGGGAATGACTTGGAAATGTTCAGAGTATGGTTTAGATGCTACTGTAACATTCCTGTAAGGTATTTACATTGATTTATTGGTATTGTCTTATTCTGATGATGTGCTATTTTTTCTTCATTGTAAAATCTAGTTAGCTAGTTTATGTGATTAAAAAAAAAAAAAAGAAAAAAAGATAGGCCTGCCTGTGTGGCTCAGTAGTTGAGCGTCATGGTTCAGTTCCCGGTCGGGGCACATGCCTGTGTTCCAGGCTCCATCCCCAGTTGGGAGCATGCAGGAGGCAGCTGATCAATGATTCTCTCTCATCATTGATATTTCTATCTCCCTCCCTCTTCATTCCTCTCTGAAATAAATTTAAAAAAATACATTTTTTAAAAAGATAGCTATTGATTCCACCTAATCTCTAGTGTTTAAAACGTAGAGTCATAATCTTTATGTTCAAGTATACCTAACTCTCAGATACTTAGATTTGTCTATTAAGTGACATTTAAAAACATTTCGCTTGATTAGTTATTCCTTTGAAACTTTCAGTTAATTATGTTAATTTTTAAACATGACTGGCAAGTCTCAGTATTTAGAGGAAATCCTCATAGTTGTTGCTATTAGCTGAGTTAGTTATTTAAGACACTTGGTGTAGAGGTTAATATTGTAGCACAAATTGTTTCAATACAGTATCTTTTAAGGTCCTTTCCAACTTAACATTTTATATTTCAGGATTCTCCTGATACAGTCAAAATGGTAAAGGCTACAGTTTTGTAGACTTGAGCTTTAAAAAAATATATATATGTTCCGTGAAAAGCTATTTTCTTCTGACGATAAATTAGAAAAGTAGTTAGTTGAATGAAGGTACAAATTCATTGTATTTATGATGCTCAATGGAATTTCACTGACCATTTCTTAAAAGAATGCTGTTTATACCTAAAAATATCTGAAAGGGCCTGGCCAGTGTGGCTCAGTGGTTGAGGGTCGACCTATGAACAAGGAGGTCACAATTCAATTCCTGGTCAGGGCACATGCCCAGGTTGTGGGCTCGATCCCTAGTTCAGGGGGCAGCTGATGGATGATTTTCTCTCATCGATGTTTCTATCTCTCTCTCTCTCTTGAAGCTGGACTTTCTCCCTATATGTATCTGCTCTCTTTTTAAATAATTTAGTTGGATGGGTGCCAGGGAAGAGGAAGGCTCCATGAGCTCTATATATTTCAGTCAGTTCTGAATATAAGTTATTTTCAAATACTTAGGAGCCTTTTCAGAATATTGTCCTGTGGCCCTAGCTCAGTGATGGCGAACCTTTTGAGCTTGGCGTGTCAGCATTTTGAAAAACCCTATCTTAACTCTGGTGCCGTGTCACATATAGAAATTTTTTGATATTTGCAACCATAGTAAAACAAAGATTTATATTTTTGATATTTATTTTATATATTTAAATGCCATTTAACAGAAAAATCAACCAAAAAAATGAGTTCGCGTGTCACCTCTGACATGCATGTCATAGGTTCGCCATCACTGCCCTAGCTGGTTTGGCTCAATGGATTGAGCATCAGCCCTCGGACTGTAGGGTCCTGGGTTTGATTCTGGCCAAGGGCACATGCCCAGGTTGCGGGCTCGATCCCCAGTAGGGGATATGCTGGAGGCAACCGATCAATCAATCACTCTCATCATTGATATTACTATCTGTCTCTCCCTCTCCCTTCCTCTCTGAAATAAATAAAAATATATATTTTTTAAAAAGAATATTGTCCTGTGAAAGAGGATCTCCTTATCAATTCAACATATACTTATATAAAAACCATGGGTGGTGTTCATCACATACAGACGAACAGCCGCGACCTAGCAGAAGGAAGTCAGTCCTACAGGGGTTGTCTTGGCAACGGCTGTGCCCTCCCCCAAGCTGTTTCCCGGAGCTGTTTCCTGTAAGGGCGGAGTTTGAGGCAGGAACCCGCCCTGGGAGCATGGAGGCAGATCTTTCTAAAGTGTGCTGCGTCAGCACAGGGTGAACCTGAGTGGGGCGGCTGAAAGGCTTAGAAAAGACAGACAAGAGAATGAAAGCCGGGTCTCCGTGGGACGCTGCTTCTCTGAGAGACAGCGACCACGCCCACAGCCATGCCTTTATTTTATAGCAGATGCTACCAGGCAAAGTAAGGGCGTGACCAAGATGTTTACAAACATTCTTCTGGGTTTCAATCCTACTCAACTACATGCACCTGAACTCTATCAAGCCCACATCACTCAGGCATGTGGGGCCACGTGTTCCGACCATAGGTTCAAGCTTACAACTACAGCTGTTGGCTATAATTGTGCTGGGAGGGCCCTGCCCTCCAAGCTGGGACTTGCACATAGCAATGAGAGGACTGTGCCCTCTCCTCAGTCCAAGGCTTGAACCTGTCCAAAACACTGTAGCGGCTCCCCACAATAAAGTTTTAATTCTCTTTC